CATGGCAGCGCCGGGCCGCACCGAGCCCACCGCCGTGGGGGCCGCGGGAGGGCGGAGGGGGCTCTGTCGGGCGGTAGGGCCGGTCCGGCTCGGCCTCCCCTCAGAGGCCGGCCCGCCGCCCCCCGCCTCGCTCGGCCTCCGCGGGGTGCGGGCCGCGGCTTGGCGGCGTCAAGTTCGGTGAGTTTTGGCCCAGGCCACTCCGTGTAGGCTAGGGCCAGCCATCTTCTGTGGGGGCATCTATTGTAGCTTTGCCATTTATGTATTATAGCCACGCGTGTATGTGTATAAGATCTGTTATACATACACATACCTCTGTACATGTATATGAAAGTAGTAATTGCAATGCCACAATGAATCCCTCCCACAAAAGATGGCTCTGTGTGTGCATGTATGTGGAGATACGTGTGGACATGCACAGACACACACACTCTTCTGTTTTACTCTATCTGATGTGCGAATTCTTTTTAAATTATTTTTTTGTTTCCTTTGAGGTGGGATTGATTCTTCCCTCTTAAAACAAGGGGAGGCATCTTGCTGAGGATATTAATTGACGTAACGTTGCTATCCTGCTTATGGAGTATTAAATCCAGCCTGAGTAAGTGGGTTATGCTGAGAGCTAGAGCAAAAGGTTTTACTAGCAGTAATTGAAAACAAATGTACTAACTCACTGATTTTATATACGTATTAGGGTCCTATTTAGAGGAAACCGTTGAGGAGTGATTGTTAAGCTCTTCTGGGCTGTGGAGTTTTCCATGTTAATAATGAGAAATTTGGAAAAGTGTTCTGTGATGTGGAAACATTGTCCAGCTGATATCTGGATTTTTGTGTATGTGCATGCAGGAGAGAGGAGGGAGCTTGGTTTTATTTCTGTTTAAATGTGAATAGTCATTTTGTGTGTCAGGCTGTACCATAGGTCACAGTCTAGTATACAACCCGCCAGTTTTTAAGGTGAATAAGTATTCTGTCAGAGTGATCAGTATAGTAAAATTCCTGCTGCTTCACTGCAGGACCTATAGAAGATTGCTGCAGATCAGAGTGATCATGGCCTCGCTTCTCCTTCAGACTCTTCCTATGGGAACTGAATATGTCTTCTCTCTGTTTACTTAACCACATTAGCAGCTTTCTTGTTTAATTGACCTCTGCTTGATTTAGATACTGAAGAACTTCCTGCTGCTTGTCCTAAGGGTGGCTAATAAGAGAACATTTTAGCACCTGTTTCATAGAAGGGAAAACATCATTGCATAGAGTGGTTCATACTATAAATGTTTAAATTCTGGTGTTGTAAACCTCAGTGATCATCTCGATTTCAACACTGTTTTATGAGTGAAAAGCTTCTGAGGAGGTGTTTAAGTTGCATCCTCTTAAGTTGCATTCCCCTTCCCCCAATCTGATCTGATTTAGCATCTGCTCTGTACGGAAGCATTATTTTACAGTGGCTTTCTTTGCTCTTGTGGAAGATCAGTAGAATTCCATTTTAATTACTTTACTTTTCCAATATACTTTCTTAAGCAATGCGCAAGCAAGACGCATGGTACCAAGTCTTTTTGGAGTGTTTCTTAAGTACCTCCTTTACAAAGAGTCATTACTCTGAGAAATGACTTGAAAAGTACTCTGAATTTCTTCTGTGTGCATATTAAGCTAGATAATGTCTCTTCACTTTAATAATTGAAAATAGGGGGAGGTTTGGAATTTTTTTTAATGCCTATTAGTAGTGTAAAGATAACACAGCTCAGAATGAACTTAAAACTCTCTGTACCCAAACATTCTGGAAACTGAAAGAGAGGAGATCTAGATTAGACATCCGGAAGAAATTCTTTACTGTGAGGGTGGTGAGACACTGGAACAGGTTGCCCAGAGAAGCTGTGGATGCCCCATCCCTGGAAGTGTTCAAGGCCAGGCTGGATGGGGCTTTGAGCAACCTGCTCTAGTGGGAGGTGTCCCTGCCCAGGGCAGGGGGGTTGGAACTAGACTATCTTTAATGTCCCTTCCAGCCCAAACCATTCTCTAAGTCTGTGATCCTATCTGCACAGGCTGGTTTAACTGCATGCCTGTTACAGTGCAGAATCTTTCCCAGTGAAAGATGGAGGAAGTTCATTTAGTGTAAAGGCTGACACTTATTAATACTTTTGTTTTCATTTTTAAATGTGAAAAATGGAAATGTTTGGTATGAAAATCTCTGAAAGAACACCACAGAATCTGGTGATACTAGAGAAATTCATCAGAGTAGAAAAGCTCTTTACTTGCTCATGTTCTTAGGTATAATAAGGGTTGGTATCAATCTCTCTTTTAGCAATCAATGAGTATCAAGTAGTAGTAATCATTTAAATGTGTTACCGATCATGTTTTTGAATGTCAACTACAAATAGTAATATTAGAGCTAAAGTAATGTATATGCTTATATTCACATTGCTATTCCTTAAATATTTCTCTATTTAAGTTATTAGCTTCTCATTTTGTCACAGATAGATACCCTCCTCCAGACTCACAAGACTGTAACCTAGTCATCAAATTCTATGAGCACGTATATATCAGCTGATGTGTAGCGATTCTATATGTTCCAGAAAGCCATAGTCTTCCTTTGATCTGTGAAATGTAAAGTTTGGGGCAGCTGTGGTAGAGGTACACGTTTTTGTTTGGAACTGCTTTCACCAATGAATGCCTCTTGGGTATTCATTTTGTAAACTGTTTAAAAATGAAAAACCTATTTCGTACAATAGAAATGTTTCTTTAAAAAAAAAAATCAATCAACCAAATTTCAGCCCTGAATTTCTGAAACTTTTGCTTCCAGCTGTTACAATGTGGATTAAACAATCCTGAGTGGAAAAGCCGGCTTTAATGTGTTTCCTCTGCTGCATTGTTTTAAATACGACTGAAATGGCATACGCAGTGTCTTGATAGCTCTTCTCTGGCATTCCTGCACTTTTGTCTGCTAATCCTTACCTTTTTTTTTAACAATGGGATATGACAGCATATATTTATTTAATCATTATAAAATTAGTTGGTGTTCTTCAGTGAGCCTGAGATTTCAAAGAAGCTTTTAAGTATCTCCCTAAAATATGGAAAGAATACTGTCCCAAAAGAGTGAAAAGCTGTCAGATATTCCCTAGAACCTCACTGAAATTAATGAGACTTGTCAGGATGAGCATATCTTTTTGTTTCTTCTTTCCTTGTCTTCAAAGTTAACTAGAAAACTTCTTAGTGTTTTAAACAATGCAACCATAAGTACTAAATGATTCCTTGAATTGAAAATCTAGGAAGATGCATTTGTCTGTGTACTAAACTGTGTGTTGTACAGCTATTCAAAATAGCATTTTAGATTTTTTTATTTGTTTTTGAGTCAGAGTTGTTCCCCTCTTGGTCCTGATTTTATTACTATAGAACAAGGAACCTGTGTATTCGCAGTCTGATGTCTCCCTTCAGTTTATGGTTAGGAATGGCTTATAGGCCAGGATGAGTTGAATTCACCGTTACCCTCTTTTTCTAGGCTTCATCAAAACATTTAAAGTAAGGGTGGTTAAATAGATTTCTTTAATTCTCTGGATCACTGAAGAGGAAGAATAGTTGGTAAAGGCGTGGTCTCTGTCAAATCAGTAGCCCTTGAGGCAGTGCTTGAAGAATATACCCTGTTCAGAAGTTTGGGCGTAGCAGTGGTGGGCCTGCAGCTGCACCTGCCTTTCCCAAGCACTGGGCATCCATGTACTTTGAATGGTATGGGGTGCTGCATTAACCCTAACTGACTTTATATTTCTAATACACCAGGTGTAAAAATATGAAATGCGTTTAGGTTAGCAAATGTATTGCTAGAAAACCAATCTTTTTTTTCCTAGCTCTTTTGCAGGTGGCAAATCCTGCAAATAGAAAGGCTTTCTAGCTTGAATAGCGTTTCTCACAGATGTTGTAGAAGTAGCCAGCAATAATCGTAACTCTGGGGAATTTAAATGATTTTTGAATTGATAGTGACAAGTAGTTGTGTGTTAACAATATCAAGTCAAATGTTATTACAGTGCAGCACAGACAACTTGAAAGGATTTTAAAATGCTGGAGATTTTAAATACTGCAGCATTGAGAGTTTATGTTGTCAACCTTTATCCTGAAGTTGCAGAAAGTAGTTTTCTGAAGAAGCAGGCAGTAACAACCTTATTCCTGCAACTGAGGCTTAAAGATGAACACTACTTTAGGGCCAGTATAATGAGTTAGCAGTGCTAATATTGTTCCAGTTTTTTATATGATACAGTATGGTGATAAATTCAGAGGTATGATTAACTTGCTTATCTTTTTTCTAAACCCACCCTTAACAAGCAACTAATGCCTGTGTTTCTAGAGAGGAACAGTTATTGAAGCTTTCAAGGCATTTTTTTTTTCAAAAATTCAAGTACATACTTAACAGGAGAGCCTAGGTACTAGGAGGTGTAGCTTAAAAGTTTGAATCTTACAAACATGTATTACAGTGAGAAACAGGGGAAGTGCAGTATATTCACAGAAGTGTGGAAGTTCCTTTAAGGATGTCAGGATGGGTAATGATGGTGATAAAGACAGGATGACACCAGGGAGGAGGTTGTGTGTGCATTCCTTTCTGCTACGAGAGACATTCTTGCTAACTTTCTCAGACATCGAACTTCAGTCCTGTGGTAACATGCTTGCTGATAGCTAGTGAATGCATGTTGACAAATACTTTTTTTTTATAATGCAGCTGTGATAGGTCAAACTAAAACAGTAGTGGCTACATCCAGAAAATTGTAGGAAACAAAAATGAACCATCTGCAAGTACAAGACTGCTGAAAGCAAAGGCAAATGCTGAGCTGCTCAAGAATGTGCTC